TCAGCTGACACATCTCTGAGTGGCCAGACTTTAGGGCTGCTTAGCAGTAGGGACAGTGACTGAGCCAAAGGTGCCGACTTTTAAGTGAGGGCAGTCTTCTTTCTCCTTCACCCTTAGCATCTTAGCATTCTAGTGTTTATACTCTGTCAGGGACAGAAATGAAAATGGACATAGAGGTAATTCATGAGGGCTTTGATTTCTGCACTGGAAATGCTGGATTTTATCCCAGCCACTATAGAAGGCTGTTAAGAAATAGCCTGTGTCTATGAACGTTCATTTACGAGCTTAGAGTACCTGCCTATAAGTCGATAGAGTTAATTATTAAACTCTTAAAAACTTCAAGGTCTTATTTGAAGAGAGATGAATTAATAGAGGGAAAGGAGTCCGAGGCCTCAGACACCTATTTAACATATTGACCTATTCTAATCATTGACTGCTCTGAGTGGGTTGGCTTTGTTTCGATTTTAAAGGCTCCTCTACATTTCTGGTAAACCACAAGGTAGAGGCTGGTCTCTGAGAAGCAGGTGTTTTGCTGGTTTTGAGGCCCTGCGGCTTTCCATAGAGAAGTAACAGTACAGGCCACATGAAGCTTTTACTTCCTTTTTTTAAAAAGTGGGGCCAATGGCGCTTTACACTTGATAGCAGTTTTTGATGTACATTGACAGTGGTGGTCTTTGTTTGCCACCAGTTGTCAAATTCGTATTTCTGGAAGTAGTTAGTATGAAATGTCTATGAGACATTCAAGCAAGTAAGTGTTCCCCAGGGGGTGGGGCCATAGATTTAGCCTCCGAAATAACACTAGAGAATCTTGGTTGGTATTTGAAATCAAGGGAGCAGTGGAGATCATATTGGGAGGAAGTTTTGGAGAGCAGAAAGCCTAGAACAAAGCCTTGAGAAGATTCCCAACATTTAGAAGTTGAGTAGAAAATTAAGCCAGGTGATAGGAAAATCAGGAGAGCTCAGGCCTGTGGAGCCAAGGTCAATTCTGTTATCAGTGTTCAAAATGGACCCTTTAGCTTTTAACAGTCCATTTCCACTGTGACCTCCCCAGCCCAGGCCCTTGTCATCTTATGGTTTGTTATATAACAAACACTTGGAAGCTCCATCTGCCTAATGCTATAGGAAGGCAAAGTGGTACAAGATATAGTCCCTGACTTTTCAGGACTTATAGCCTGTAGGAGTACAGATCAATGCCAAATGAATGGGAGGGAATGGTCAGGGAAGTTTCATTTTGGAGTGGGAGGGATTTGAGCTTGGGTTTGAAGTAAACTAGTGCTGTCTTGCGTAGGCTGTGAGGACTAGTAGAAAAGGTACCCCAGAGCCTAGAGTTCAGACAGAGATTGTAGCATGAGCCAGTTGGCATTACTGGACATATCATTGGAAAGGTAGGCAGGGTCCAGGATCCTGGAGGGCCTTGAATTCAGGGCCTGGGTGCAGACACCACCCTGAAGAGGTCAAAAGCTATTCTTAGGTAGGGGCTAGGGCGAGGTGGCATGGGACTCAGGGTAAAATCTGTGGTTCTGAAAAGTTCCTTGGCAGAGGCTTGTAAATGCCTGGATGAAAGAGTTGGGTTAATAGGCTCGGCAGGAGTAAAGGGATAAGGGCTTAGATTAGAGCTAGCACTGGAACGGGCACGAAAGGAGGGCATTGAAAGACCCTCCTTAGGAAGAATACTGAAGACTTGGTGATTTGATGTTGGGGCCAACAGCAGAGGGTGGAGTCACAGATAATGGTGCCATGACTGAAAATGGTTACTTCTGTAGGCTTTTATCTCCATTTTATAGAGAATGTGGTAGTGCAGGGCATGGATTTTGGAACCTGGGTTTGAATTCTGCCTTTGCCGCTGAGGAGTTGGTGATCTTCATCTGGTTACTTAACCATCTGTGCCTTAGCTTCCTTGTCTGTAAAACAGAGGTAATAATTGTACTTCCCTTTGGGTTGTGAGGATTTTTAATTAATACATGTGAGGCTCCTGGCGTGTAACTATTAGTTTAATGGATGTCAGAAACTGCGTCATAACAAGTAGAAGAATCAGAAATCTGAACTCGTTCGTCCAACACTACCATATATCCTGGTGTTTCCGATTCAGCCTTTCTCAGATGCACCCTTCCCTGTGCAAGCCTTTCCTAGTGCTCCTGTTGTGTGTCCTTTGACATCAGGCCCACGTAGAGACTGCATGGTCCTGGCCTTCCGTCATATGATTCAGGCCAGAGCGGCCACTTCAGTGTTGTGTGGCCTCTCCCTCTCTTATCACCCACCTCCCATTCCCCACTTCTGTCATTCGTGGAGGCACTGCCCACTCCCTCCACCTCTGCAGACCCTGCCTATTCTCATGGTCTGGCCTGTGGCTCTGCCGCGGTGAAGGCGTTTTGGACGACGACAGCCCGTGCCTCTCCTTGGCTCCCTGCTGCACTGATGAGCTGTACTTCACTGCTCCGTGCTTGTCAGAATTAAGTCTCAGATTGTTCTGAAATGACTTCAACACATTTATCTTACCCGCTACAAATGAATCACAGTTTTAATAAAGGTCCATATCTACCTTTTTTTCTTTTAAATTCCTCCCAGCGCTAGGTGCTCAGTAAATAATTAGATACTTAAGAGCAGATGAAGAAGCATGGATTCCGATGGCTGAGGTTGACTTCAGGTCCTTCTCTCGCACCTGGGTTACCTCAGCAACCTTTTTAACTGGTCTTTGCATTGCAGCCAGTCTGTCCCCTAGTCCACGCCATAGGCTACACTGCCACGAGAGCAGTTGATAACCAGTCTTCATGGACTGCTCATGCTTAAACTTCTCTGCTGGCCTGCAGTTAGGACCATAATTCTTCAGCCTGGCCTAAAGGTTCTCTGCAATCTGACCTTCTCCAGCCTCTTAAGGCATATTTGCTGGCACTCCATTCTGCATACCCTGTCCTTGCAGTTCCCAGAATGTTCTGTATGCCATTCCTGGCTGACTCTTGCTGCTTGAAGCCCTCCTGGCAGGCTCAAGCTCTTCCTTGTCACTTCCTCTAAGACACCTGCAGAGTAAGTCGCTTCCTCTTCGTAGCCCCACCCACCACCGCTTTGTTCCTCTATGCTTTTCTTAAGCCCAGTGATCTGTTTACCTGTCTGCCATGCCCACTGGAGGGGAGCTCCTTGAAGGCAGGGCAGTCTCATTCCTGTCCACAGGCCACATTCCCAGGGGAGATGATCTGCTCATAGCCCAGGATGCATGTTGGTCATGTGAATATACTTTTGTAAGTAGTGAAGGTCGAATTAGAGAGACCTTGTTGCCTCTTTCTTGGGCCTTGATAGATTTTCCCTTTGAACTATACAAATTATATTGCAAACTGACAGTGATGAGTCATATCTTAGAAAGGGATGAAATCGGAAAATGCAGAGCCTCTAGGAATGGTGTAGGAGGCTGCAAATCGGCCTTACAGGCCAAATCTCGTTCTTCACTGAATTTGCCCGGCTGGTCTCAAACACGGGGGAGTGGGAGGGACTCTTCTCCCGGTGGGCAGGTGATTTATTGGCTGGGAAGCTTCCGCGGTGATTTAGTTGTGAAACGGCGCCCTGCGAGGTGCAGGCTGATGCCTGGGCCCGGCGGGAGCGGCCGCCCACAATCCCGGGCCGGAAGGGAACGCGGGGGTCATCGGGGCCAGCCCCCAATTCGCAGCCCGGGGGCGATGGGCGTGCGGCCCTCGCGCTGTTGACTCTGCCCGCCCGGAGGGAGGACTGGAGCGGCCTGGGAAGGGCCCCGAGTGCCGGCCCGGCCCCGGCCCCGCGGGCGCCCTCTGCTCGCGCTCGCCGCGGTAGGGAGGAAGTTTCTGTGCCTCGCTGCCGGGGTCGCCTCCCGCTGTTAGGAAGGAGGAAGCCGCGGTACCGGCGCCGGGGTCCCGGGAGGCTCTGGCTGCGGGCCCGGCGCGGAGTCTCGGGGTGGGGGCCGGGCGCGGGCCGGCGGGCGGCGCGGCGATCCAGGCCGCCTTTTGCAGCCGCCCGCGGCCGCCGGGCTCCGCGCGCCGCGCTCCATTCGGCCTCCTCCCTCGGCGGCGGCCGCCCCAGCCCCGCGCCCCCCGCGCCGCGCGGCCCCGCCGCGGTCGCACGCCGAGCCGCCCGGCCGCCTCCGCCCTGCGCTTTGTGGAGCCGGAGCCCGCGCGGGGCCGAGTGACAGGCGCGGCCTCGTCGCCCCGAGCCCTGAGCGCGGCCGGCCCGGCCCGGCCCGGCGTACCTGTGGCTGCCGCCCGCCAGGCCGGGAAGCGCCTCGGGGTCGGCCGCGCCGGACCGGGCGTCGAGCCCCGAGGTGGGGGCCGGTGGAGCGGGAACTGCTCCGGGGCGGGGAGGGGCTGCCCGAGAGGAACGGGACAAAGTGAAAGTCTCCAGACTGCGAAGGAAATGGGGTGGGGAGGGGGGCGCGGGGGCGCGGTGAGGGCATCGGGAAGAAGGAAGGGGGTCTGATGCTTCTTTCTTGGGGCCTTGGAGTGGCTTTTAGACGGCCGTGGCGGGGCAGGCCTGCCGGGGTCCTGGCTCCCGGTGGGTCCCCGCGACATCCGTGCCTTCCTGGTGAATTCCTCGCATTCGCGCAGGGGCCTTTAACCCTCCAGGGTCCCCTCTGGAGAAAAGTCTCCAGGCTTGGTTCTTTTCCCCCTTCTCCCTGACGCTCTGGGAAGCTTCGTTCTCGGGTGGAAAGCAGTTGTGTTGCTTTATTGAAGCCCGGAGCGTATTTGTCGTTTGCTCCTTGGTGGACCAGTGCGGACTGGTGGCCCAGAGAACACAGATTGCTTCCCAACCCCAGACGCAGGGGGTCCCTCCCCAGACCTGCCTGTGTGAGCCTGGGGCTTCTGACAAAGGCTGTCCAGGCCTTCTGGCCGAGGGTCCCGGCTGTGCTGCTGAAATGGGCCCCCGCGAGTCAATATTCCCTGCCTACGACTTGTTTGTGGTGTTTCTTTAATGATGGCAGGTATCTTTGCTGACGTCCTGGTTTGTTTTAGGTTTTTACATCATATTCTTTCTTTTTATCACAGAAGCGCTTCGTTAAGGGGCTCAGGCAGTACGGCAAGAACTTCTTCAGAATTAGAAAGGAGCTGCTTCCCAATAAGGAAACAGTGAGTACAATCGGACTTTACGTAACTTGATTTCTCTCCTCGTTGCTCCTGCTGCTTCCCCGCGCTGGATCTTATGAAATGGTTTCTTTTAACCCTGTGCTGCACTCAGTCTTAGGTTGGCCTCTAGCATACTATTCATTTCATTTCCTTTATTTTTAGTTTAAGCTCATGATTTTAGGTAGTAAAGTGATGGATTATGCTAATCCTCCCGAGGAAACTGGACTTTTCTTGTAAGAACAGAAAGGTCTTTGGCAACAGAGGGTACTGGGGAGTTAACATCTAATTTTAAATACAGTGTCTGAAATAGGAAATGTCACTTATCACTAGTTTGGATTTAGTTATTGACAAAAGTCAGCCAAACAATAGAATTAAGAGATCTGTACCTCCCTATAATTTGAATTATATTGGGACTTTTTCTTATTTAATGTTGCTGTTTTCAAGAGTAGTTATTACATTCCTTAATTTTCAAGTCCTTAAAGCATGTACTTTTCATTGGACAAATACACAAAGATTCTTATGGCCCGCCTAAATGAAGCTTTTAAAAAATTCCTTTGATATTTCACAAAACTGAGTCAACTCCGATGAGTACTCTTGCTAAACTTGGAGTAGGAGCATTTCCTGAGGAAATTTTTGAGAGAGAAGTTATATGAAGAAAATACTAGCAAGGGATTCAGTCTCATTTACCTAAAATTGCCTACGCATGGTATTGGGGGTGGGAGTGGGGGTGGGGGAGAGTCCTTCATGCTAGAAGGGATAGAGGGCTCTGGGGTGGAGTAAGACCAGCCACTTGCCAGTGTCTGGCCAGAAGAGCCCAGTAACCAGAAGTGTTCTTCAGGACTTGGGGGTGGGGGTGGACGCTTAATCAATTGAGCTGCTTTTCTTTCTGGGAGTGAAAGGAAAGAGATGAAGAATATCCATTATAAAAGTGGGTGGATTGTTTGGTTTGGTTTGGTTTTTGGTTTTCTAATTGGGTGTTGTTTATGGTTTCCTCTTAGTGGATTTTGATTCTTATATTCTGGGTCACCTTTTTTGTAATGAGCTGTTTCTGGACACCTTTTCTGTATAGTACCTTTTGAGCAGCAATAACTCATAATAGGGAAGAGGGTTCTGAGGTTTCAAGTATATACCCTTTCATAAATCAGCACATCAACTCATAATTAGACTACTGTTTTAATATTTATTATACATCTAAATATGCTGAGATGGGTCATTTTGAGAATGGCAAAAAAGAGAACAGTTTAGAGACATTAAACTATAGTATGTTATCAATCTATATAATCAACTTAATTTTTTCTCTTTCCAAAACAGATTGTAGAGGTGTTCAATGTGGAACAGTGAAAGAAATGCTTTTAAGTTTTCCAAGGATTTCAGTTATTTAAAGTTTGATGCATACTTTGAAAAAACTAAAATGCCCTTACCCAAAGGTAGAAATTTTGTTTTGGCCAAATGGGAGTGAGAATTAAAGAACTCCCTGAGCAGCCTTGACCTGATGAGATGAGCAGGTTGTGACCTCTCAACTCAAGTGTTAACCTGTTCCTGTGTTCTGCTCAGAGTTGCAAACCATGAAGACTTTGATATCAGATCTTCTTGTGCAATGATTATTTTATCTTTGTTTTAAAAAATAAACTTACAATAGTAAAATTAAGCATTAAATCTAAAATCTGTCTCACATTTGAAAATGCCAGACAGTTTTATCCAGCATTTTTTATTTCCCCAGTGGAAACAAATCTGAATAACCTTTAGCCTAGGTAAGAGCCCTCAAAATCTGTTTTCTTTCATGCTCTTGTTGTCCCTTATTTTTATCGATAACGTCTAACTCAGTAAGTAGTCTTTCCTGTCCCTCCCAGCAAGCAACCTTTTGAGTTGGCTTTCTGGTCTTTTCCAGGCACCTCTTTCCTGAGCCCTTCCCCATCACTTCTCTGCTGTCCCTATTCCCAGCTATGAGGCTCCTCTCCCCACTTCTCCTCTGGCACCCAGCAGTCTTCCTGTTTCCAGCCTCTTAATCAGAACATGGTCATTGCAGCTAGTGAGAGAGTTGTTTGCAGCACTGGAGAATTTATCATGGCTGGCGTTGGCTAAATGTTCCCTGTGTCCTGCTGTCTTTTGCTTAGAATTGGAGGAGTTTGGTAGCAGAGTGAGTCTTTATTCTGATTAGCCGGGAGAAACACTCATCTTATGTTTTCTTTAGTTATCAACATAGCCAAGCTAATCATTCACAATTCATGGGGAGGAAGGGTGGGCAATGATTATTTTTCATTTTTGCTGCAGAAAATGAAAAAAAATTCAGGTACTGGTCTTCCTGGTTCAAAACTTCCTTGGTAGAAATCTCTATATCTTCATGACTCTTTTTATAGCAAATCCCTCTAATCCAAATATTTTCCACATTATCTTCTATTTACCAGAATTATTAACTCATTTCTTTGCTATTCTCAACCAACTTGAAACTTCAGATGGGTGTCAGTCTCCCAAAGAACATGCCTGATTGGGCACAGGCACCAGGGTCAGCAGACCTGTATTCTATTCTTGGCCTTACCAGTAACTGTAGCACTGCATGATCTCTTTGAACTGTGTAGTCTGCTGTGAGCTGTTCATTGGGAAGTTCAGGACAAATCCTGACAATGAGTGGGAAAGGATTTCCTCTCAAATGGCGTTGCTTTGCAGGAGAATTTTATAGGTGCTACAATCTTTACAAAATGTTTGCCTGTCTCTGGCTGTCATTGTGCCTGAGACGGTTCTTGCTCCTCTGCCACCTACTTGCTGTGGGCCTTAGGCAGATTATTTGACATCTCTTTCCTCTAAAGTCTTGGTTTGTAAAAGGGGGGTGATCCTAACAACCCCCTTAGACTTGTTTTGAGAAATCTCAAAACTGTGAGGTGTCTATGAACACTGTAAAATGATTGTTCTTCCCATCTACCCAGAAACTACACAAGGTAACCAAATTCTACATAACGTACAGAATTCCTGCTTGTAAACATATTACACCTGTATAAAAAAAATTACCTGTTTCTCATCAATCCTTTTAAATTGAAAAATTGGGAGGGGGTAGGGAGCAGTGCCTAGTTTAGGGGATGTTTCCTCTGTCTTGAATCTTTGTTGAGACTTGCATATTTACCAGCTCATTCAGTGAAGGCACGCAGAGAAAGGTTGCTGGTGGGCATGGATGTAAACCGCTTCTCCAGCTCTTTAGGTTTCTGCAGTCTATTACACAGGGCTAATGCTGGCTTTTCTTTGAACACTGCTGCCCACTGAAGTGGGAGTAGTGGCAGTGAAAACCACCTGTTCATAGAGGTTTAGTTGAGTGGGTATTACTTGCTAGGCTCCGTGTACCCAGGAGAATAACTGCAAGTTAAATATTTTAGTATCATGGTTGTGCAAATACCCTGTAGTTTATTATCTTTCTCCCATTCTCACTTTCTCAATAACCGTTGCCTCCTTCATTGTGCTTATAAGAGAAATAATTAGTAGTTAAACATGGTAAGGAATCTGCTGAGCATCTCAGATTCCCCGTGGCTGTATCTCTTTTCTCCCTAAAGACAGTTTGGCCTAACTCATGTCAGGGTCTTGGATTCTAATATGTTTGTATAAATCACAGTGAGTGTCCCCTGGCTGAGCTGAGAAGATGATGGGGAACCAGGCCTCTTGGTTTTCCTTTTAGTGCTGCTGCATAATCTTTGGGATGATGAATTACATGAACTTTGATGTAATGTGTGAAACAATGGGAGACCTAACAGAGCTGAATCGTAATTGCCAAGAGAGGAACCCATGACTTCAGAATCACTAATCCTCCAAAAATAATGCTTTTCTTGATTTGTACAGCATTGCCATTTTCTTCAAAACCATGAGGTGATTACTCAGGTCACAGTGACACATACCTTCTTTTGCACCGAGAACAATCTTTGTTATTTGAGCCAGAAAGATTTTCCATGTCTGACACCTGGGTGATTGTCCCTTGAATCCTGGCTGGCCTTTGTATATAGTTCTGTGTACAGTTAGTTACTAAGACAAATTCAGCCAGCATTAGACTGTAGACAGGGAGCATTTAGTCAGTGACCTGTCTCCTAATGCAGTTGGCGTTAGTAAGAAGACAGTCTGCTCTGCCACGGCTTGAAAGGAAAGATGCCCCCAAAGAGTTATTAGACCCTGGAGGGAGAAAGTGAAAAGTCACGTACCTTTTGATGATCTTTCTCAGGTCTGTAAGTTTTATTTTCCACCACCTAGTCCAATAGAGATTAAGCTCAAATGCACAGTAGGGTCTATGCATCTCTGCTGTTCACAGTAATGCAGATTTGCAGATCCAAAGACTAAAGGTCACTTTCATTCTTAATGTTTTTATTCCGTTACGATTGTAAATTGTTTCACTGTTAGGGCTTGATTTTGTTTTTTGGATTATTACAAAGTGTTTCGGACATAAAGAAAAGTATCTGAGCTTATTTTTATTTGTAAACCCAGTTGCTGGTGCATTAATATTTACTCTCCTAAAAATTTATTTTCACCCACTTCCCATTTTCAGAACTAAACATTCCATATAGTTCAATTTTAAAAAGTGCTGTATACTCACTGAGAACTTTAATGAGTGAGATGTCTCTAAGGAGAAGCAAGGTGCCATCTGCACCCACAGGGAGGCTGGCACTAGAGCCCAAAAGATGAACCATTTGCATGCCTGCCATGTTTGAACAGTATATGCTAAGGGCGCTGTTGGAAGTTGAGGCCTCTAATTATGCATAGATGCTATGGGCTTCTGGAAGGTTAACTGGAGTGTGTGGTGTTTGAACTGAGTTTTGAAGGAAGCATACATTTTTTGACAGGGCTTGGTTGGGAGGGTGGAGGAACAGCCACTTCCCAGCTGTAGGAAATGCCATGATCAAAGGCATGGAGACAGGAAATGGCAAAACATGTCCAGCAAGTACATTAGTGTGGTTGGAGAGAAGGTTGCATGAGCTGATGCAGTAAGACTTAGACCAGAATTACAGCTTAGTGCTGGAATTCAGGGAACCTTTCAC